TGTTCTTCCGGATTTTACTAATTAATTTTCTTTGTCTTTAGGTCTTTCGGCGATTTCTGGTGAAATTTCTTGTGGTCTCCCTGGTCTACCGGCTTTCTGGTAATTTTAATTGTGTTGTTGGGGTTTTTTTTTCTGTTCTTCCAGATTTTACTAATTAATTTTCTTTGTCTTCAGGTCTTTCGGCGATTTTCTGGTGAAATTTTTTGTGGTCTTCCGGCTTTCTGGTAAGTTTAATTGTGTTGTTGGAGGGTTTTCTGTTCTTCCAGATTTTATTAATTAATTTTCTTTGTCTTTAGATCTTTCGGCGATTTCTGGTAAAATTTCTTGTAGTCTCCCTGGTTTACCAGCTTTTTGGTAATTTTAATTGTGTTGTTGGGGTTTTTTTTTCTGTTTTTCCGGATTTTACTAATTAATTTTCTCTGTCTTCAGGTCTTTCGGCGATTGTCTGGTGAAATTTCTTGTGGTCTTCTGGCTTTCTGGTAATTTTAATTGTGTTGTTGAAGGTTTTTTTTCTTTTCTTCTGGATTTTACTAATTAATTTTCTTTGTCTAGGTCTTTTGGCGATTTTTGGTGAAATTTCTTTTGGTTTCTCGGCCTTTCTGTTAATTTAATTATGTTATTGCGTTTTTATTCTGTTCTTCCAGATTTTACTAATTAATTTTCTTTGTCTTCAGGTCTTTCGACGTTTTCTGGTGAAATTTCTTGTGGTCTTCCGGCTTTTCTGGTAATTTAATTGTGTTATTGAGTTTTTTCTGTTCTTCCGGATTTTACTAATTAATTTTCTTTGTCTTCAGGTCTTTCGGCGATTTCTGGTAAAATTTCTTGTAGTTTCCCCTGGTCTTCCGGCTTTCTAGTAATTTTAATTGTGTTGTTGAGGTTTTTTTTTCTGTTCTTCCAGATTTTACTAATTAATTTTCTTTGTCTTCAGGTCTTTCTGGTGAAATTTCTTGTGGTCTTCCGGCTTTTCTGGTAGTTTAATTGTGTTATTGGTTTTTTCTGTTCTTCCGGATTTTACTAATTAATGTTCTGTCTTCAGGTCTTTTGGCGATTTTCTGGTGAAATTTCATGTGATCTCCCCTAGTCTTCCAGCTTTCTGTTGGGGTTTTTTCTGTTCTTCCAGATTTTACTAATTAATTTTCTGTCTTCAGGCCTTTCGGCGATTTTCTGGTGTTTTTGTGGTCTCCCCTAGTATTCCGGCTTTCTGGTAATTTTAATTGTGTTGTTGGGATTTTTTCTGTTCTTCCGGATTTTACTAATTAATTTTCTTTTCTTTAGGTCTTTCAATGATTCTGGTGAAATTTCTTGTAGTCTCCCCTGGTCTTCTGGCTTTTCTGGTAATTTTTGTGTTGTTAAGTTTTTTTCTGTTCTTCTAATTAATTTTCATTGTTTCGACGATTTCTAGTGAAATTTTTTGTAGTCTTCTCTGATCTTCCGGCTTTTCTGGTAATTTTAATTGTGTTGTTTTTTTTTTCTGTTTTTCCAGATTTTACTAATTAATTTTCTTTTGTCTTCAGGTCTTTCGACGATTTTTGGTAAAATTTCTTGTGGTCTCACCTGGTCTTCCAACTTTTCTGGTAATTATATTTGTGTTGTTGGGTTTTTTTTTTGTTCTTCCGGATTTTACTAATTAATTTCCTTTGTCTTCAGGTCTTTTGGCGATTTTCTGATGAAATTTCTTGTAGTCTCCCCTGGTCTTCTAGTTTTTCTGATTTTTCTGGTCTTTCGGCATTTTACTGGTGTGCTCTTCGGGTTTTCCTGTATTTGGACCTGTTTTTGGGTCTTTCGGTATTTTACTGGTGAATTTTCTTGTGGTCTCCAGGTCTAGAGGACTACAAGAAGGTTCTCCAGTAAAATGCTGAAAGTGGTCTTTGGTTGACGTTTTACTGGTGAATTTTATAGTTGTCTTTCACTAGCTATCGATATATTGCATTTAAAACAAGTTGTTTGTAAATATTTACACTTATTTATTTAATTAATATTTTCAGATAAATCTTTCTGCATTTGGAGAATTAAATAACAAGAACTCTAAAATTTTTCAAAATTTATATTATTTAAAAGATTTATTGTAAACAGTGAAAGCTAGATATTTTATTTTTTTAATATTAATTTATATTTTATTTAAATAATTAATAAAAATTTAATTGAATCGAGTTAATAATAGGGCCAAAAAATTACTGGTTGAAATATTTGTGATTTTAAACTTTTAATTCTTAGTGTAAGTAATTATTAAAGATTAAGTGTGTTCTCAAGTAGCAAACTTCATGAATTAGCTATTGATTGTAATAGTATATTATGATCTTGAATAACTTATTGAAACAATGATTAATAAAAATAATTTTACAAACTCAAATGGCATGTTAGAAAAACTTATTAACATATACAAGGCAACTCGATAAGCCAAAGACCATGGGGGAGACCTAAATATTCAGCTTGTTAAATTTTTATATTATTAAATTTCATGTTAAGCCGAGTTTTATATATAGTAATTAATAGATTGTAATTTAAAAAACTTCAGCTTATATGTATTTTCGGTTTAGGAAACTTTAGCTTATCGAGTTTGCCTTGTATTCATTTATACTCACCAAATAAAGTATTACAAAAATATAAATAAAATATTTCATAAAATAAATTGCCAAAGAAATGTGTACTGGGGAAATGATAAGCAGAAAAGCTTTTTAAATTTTCAATATTATCCATTTGATTTATTTATGGAATAAAATCAGAATTACATAGTAATATTGATTAAGATCACTATATACATAAAATTTTAATTAAGGTCAAGAATTGGATTCAAAAAACCTTCTAGCCTAGCAACAAAAGCTTCTGCTTCCTCAGCACCACTTCTTTCTTCTACACTCCAGTATTTGTCACATAATCTTTCAGTTAGTTCATTTACAGAAAGCCGTCTATTTTCTGCTTGTTTTTCTTCTTCGCTTTGTCTTGGTATCTCTATAATTATTAATTCACGATGCTTATATACTTCAAAACCACTTTCTTCAAATATTTCCTGAAACCTTTTCCAAGCTTCTTCAGTTAGCAATCGGTTAGAGCCATAGGTATGTTCATGAAATATATGTTTGCATGGTAACAAATATTTATTACAGAATAAGCAGCAACAATCTAGTGAAGTAAGCCCTGGCGCACCCTTACCCTTCTCTAACCTATTCATTACTGCACAAGCTTCTTTAACAAGCATTAACTGCATAGGATAAGGAAACTTGTAGATTTCTTTAATGATTTCGTCTTTAATGCCATAGACTGATGCTTTTTTTGTATGAAAATTAAAAGCTACATCATCAGCATCGATTTGTTTTTTTCGATCAAGACAATAACTTTATGAACTGCACCGATTAACCCATTCAAGTGAGATGTAGTTCTTTTAAGTTCACTATGAAAGGATTCCAATGCATTAGTGGATGTAACTTGGAGTAAGAGAGGTGAATGCTGCCGTGACCAAAAAGCCCACTGATCAGTATTTTTCATATAGTTTCATTGAATATACTTGCAAAAGCAGGAACAGGGCAAGTGTTAATGGCATCTTGAATAAGTTTTTCATATCCTATTCTCGTCTTCTTATACATAGCTGCAATCATAAGACTTCGAGTCTTATCTTCATAAATTTTTGAAATCTATGTACGCATCAAATGGACAGAACAAAGTAAAACTTTACACTCTTGTTCACCAGCACTAATACCAGAAAAAGCTTGTATTATGCTATTGGCTTTAGTACTACTTTGGTCTATTAAAATATAATGAGAAGCCCAGTGGCATTTATTTCGAACCAATTGTAATGCTTTGGCGTTAGTTGCACTATCCTCAGCACAAACAAAAAAATGTGAACCACTTTCCCAACATCTATAGTTATCACGTATATATAAAGTAAAAAGCTTCTATCCATGTTTATTTGTTTTGTGGATCAAATCTATCAATGTGAGCCAACCGTGGTATTGAAGTTTGTCCATTTGTCTAGGATATATAAAAACAATATCTTCTGTACGTTTTACTTTCCCATTTTCAGATTGCTGAGAAACGTGATAATGCTTGGCATAATACTTTTGGTTTTTCAAATATAATAAAGTCTCAGAAATATCTGCTCCTAACTTTATATTACCTATTAAATGTGCATTCATAGGTCCTTGAAGCTTATATTTAATGTTCGCAACCTCCATTCGCCTTAGATATTCCACACTATCACCTAATCCAAGCTCATTTTTTGCATATTCTTTAACCGTGCTAGTTATTGCTACAGGTTCATAATTCTTAATAGCTTCGTTTGTAACCAAGGTTCGAATAGCATCCGAACGTTTTAACATATCACTATCTTCTAGCGTGTGTGTATGATCTGAAGAATTGTTATACCGCTCAACTCGAACCATCCTAGAACTAACAGACCAAGTTACTTTGATTTTGCTTCACAAAGACCAGCTGGTCGAATAGTAGTTTTTCTTTGTTTATCGATTGCAACACCTTCCTGCCATATACTTGAACTTTGATACTTTTTAAAATGACAAACATAAGTCCTCCAAAAATCTCTATTTCAAAGTTTGTATGAAGTAAATTGAGTCCATATATTCGTTATTAAAGACCACAAATTATTATTAAATTCTTCATCAGTTACTTCGAAAGGGTCTTGTACATTAAAAAAAACGGGAACGTATTTCAGCACTAGTTGTGCTACTGGCATCTGAGGTACTTGCTGAAGGAGTAGTAATCCTGTTCTCTTTGTCCATAGCCGAAAATTGTGTGGTCCAGAAAAAAAAAAATATATATATATATATACTGTATATATATTTAGAATATAAAAATACTATAGTGATAGGTATTTACAAAAAAAAAAAGACTACCGATATTCAAAAAAAAAACCTACTGGTATTTAAAAAAAAAAGACTACCAATATTCAAAAAAAAAACCTACTGGTATTCAAAAAGAAAAAAAAAAGCTACCTATTCAAAAAAAAACTACAGGTAAAAAAAAAAAAGGTACTACTACTACTACTGAGATTCAATATTCGCAGTACTTTTTTTCCTTAATACAATCGTGAAAAACATGCGCTTCTAAAATTTTTTTTCTTGAAAAAAAAAATTTGCACCAATTTATGAGCACAAAAAAATGTATCACAAATATTATTCTTTGCGCATATGGTATCTCATATTAAAAAAGGCCTATTTTTACATTTTTAAAAATTTTATTTTAATTTATTTTTCAATAAATATAATACAGTAAATATGTATTCAAAGAAAAGATTTTAGCGTTTTGCTGATTTTAATTATGTTGTTTAAAGGGCTGTGAATTTTTTCGGTTTTTTTTCTTTTTTTTGGGATTATACTAACGAAATTTCTTTATCTTCGGGTTTTTCACCGATTTTCTGATGAAATTTCTTGTGGTCTCCCTCCCTGGTCTCCCCTTGGTCTTCCAGTGATTTTAATTATATCAGATATGTTTCGACGATTTTTTGGTGAAATTTCTCCTGGTCTTCCGGCTTTCTGGTAATTTAATTGTGTTATTGCGTTTTTATTCTGTTCTTCCGAATTTTACTAATTAATTTTCTTTGTCTTCAGGTCTTTCGGCGATTTTCTGGTGAAATTTCTTGTGGTATCCCTGGTCTTCCGGCTTTTCTGGTAATTTCAATTGTGTTCAGGGGTTTTTTTTTCTGTTCTTCCAGATTTTACTAATTAATTTTCTGACTTCAGGTCTTTCAGCGATTTTCTGGTGAAATTTCTTGTGGTCTCCTCTGGTATTCTGGCTTTCTGGTAATTTTAATTTTTTCTGTTCTTCTGAATTTTACTAATTAGTTTTCTTTGTCTTTAGGTCTTTCGGCGAGTTCTGGTGAAATTTCTTGTGGTCTTCCGCTTTTCTGGTAATTTTAATTGTGTTGACTTTTTTTTCTGTTCTTCCAGATTTTACTAATTAATTTTCATTGTCTTCAGGTTTTTCGGTGATTTTCTGGTTAAATTTCTTGTAGTCTCCCTGGTCTTCTGGCTTTCTAGTAATTTTAATTGTTGTTTTTTTTTTCCTGTTCTTTCGGATTTTACTAATTTTCATTGCCTTCAGATCTTTCGATGATTTCTGGTGTGGTCTCCCCTGGTCTTTCGGCTTTTTGGTAATTTTAATTGTTCTTCCGGATTTTACTAATTAATTTTCTTTGTCTTTAGATCTTTCGGCGAGTTCTGGTGAAATTTCTTGTGGTCTTCCGGCTTTCTGGTAATTTTAATTGTGTTGGCTTTTTTTTCTGTTCTTCTGGATTTTACTAATTAATTTTTATTGTCTTCAGGTTTTTCGGCGATTTCTGGTAAAATTTCTTGTGGTCTTCTCTGGTCTTCCGGCTTTCCAGTAATTTTAATTGTTTTTTTTTTCTGTTCTTCCGGATTTTACTAATTTTCATTGCCTTCAGATCTTTTGATGATTTCTGGTGTAGTCTCCCCGGTCTTCTGGCTTTTTGGTAATTTTAATTGTTCTTCTGGATTTTACTAATTAATTTTCTTTGTCTTTAGACCTTTCGGCAAGTTCTGGTGAAATTTCTTGTGGTCTTCTGGCTTTCTGGTAATTTTAATTGTGTTGGCTTTTTTTTCTGTTTTTACGAATTTTACTAATTAATTTTCATTGTCTTCAGGTTTTTTGGTGATTTCTGGTGAAATTTCTTGTGGTCTCCCCTGGTCTTCCAGCTTTCTGGTAATTTTAATTGTGTTGTTGGAGTTTTTTTTCTGTTCTTCTAGATTTTACTAATTAATTTTCTGTCTTTAGGTTTTTCAACAATTTTTGGTGAAATTTCTTGGGTCTCTCCTGGTCTTCTGGCTTTTCTGGTAATTTTAATTGTGTTGATTTTTTTTTTCTGTTTTTCTAGCTTTACTTATTAATTTTCTTTAGTCTTCCGAGTTTTCTGGTCTTTTAGCATTTCACTGGTGTGCTGTTTTTCTGCATTTGGACTGTTTTTGATATTTCACTAGTGAATTTTCTTGTGGACTTCAGGTCCAGAGGACTACAAGAAGGTTCTCCAGTAAAGCGCCAAAAGTGGTCTTTAGTTGACGTTTTACTGGTAAATTATATAGTTGTTTTTCTTCAGGAATTTTGGTGTTTATTGGCAAATTTCTAATAGTATTTAGTTTTATTGGTGAATTTTCTTGTACTCATATTTTTTTCTTTACATATATATCGAATTTTTATAGTAAATAAAGTTTATATTGTGTGATCTTTTTTGAATGGCTAGTTAAGAGATTGCTATGATGACAGTTTGCCATAAAATAACATCTAAATTTTAATTGGTTTAAATTTTGCATAAATGTGGTTAATATGTAGAATGAGATAAATATACATATTTTTTTGTATAATATTGCTAATTTTATTTTTTTTATTTTGATTTTTTTTTTAATTTAGGCAATCTTGCTCAAATACAAAAGACAAGCTTAGTAGAAGAAAACTCTATATATATAGTTTGATAAGCAAAAGTTTAATAGCTAAAGTTGAAAACCTTGTAGACTCTAGATTTAAGACAAATAAAGCTATATACTAGTTTACAAAGCTTTTTTAGTCTAATTTTTTTGAAAGACTTTAGAAGTTCTAATATAAAATAATGTTGAATTAGAAAAAGAAATATGAAATTAACTCTAAAGCAAAAATATAAAGCTAGATCAAACAAAGTAGCCAACAACAAAGAAAATCAAAACTCTAGAGAAAGCTAAGCTAAAGAACTTGTAAAGGATAAAAAAAAAGAATTCAAGAGGTAGCTAAAACCAGAGTTAGCAAATAGATCAAAAGGAGAATAAAAGAAAGTTAGTTAA